AGAGAAAATCGGTGCAATATTAGGGTGGGACGGGTGGGCACGTAACACCTATGTACCACTATTGTTTCACGGAATTTTAATTAAACTTCAATTAAAATTTCGTTTAATTATATAATTCCATTTCACAAATATTGTACATAGCTGTCACGTGAGATGTTTAGAGATATTGCATCTATGTATCCGAAAGATTCCTGGAGATTATGATCAGTAAATAGTACACATATACAAAGTTCACACATTTATCTAATCAACATATTTACATTGCATTACTGAGTATCGCATTACAGAAACTGGTGTCTATGGTTACAGGTTTATCATAAAATTTTCGAAAAGAGCATTGATTAGTCCACCCTGCGGTGCGTAAAATTGTCGAAAGTGGTAAACCTTTACTACAAGCTTTAGAAACAGACGCTGATCTCACACTGTGAGGTTTAAATGCGGAGCAATCTATACCAGCTTCTATCATAACTGTTTTCATCCATCTGGATATAGTGTCTTTGCTTACACCTTTATACGGCGCTACAAAACTTACAAAAAATTTCTTTTCTTTCCCGCGAAATTTTTCAGTCATTTTGATATATAATTTTAAACAAGTTACAATGCACAAATTTGTATTTACAAAACTATTTAAAACAATTTCATTTAAATGTTTTCCTGGTCTAGTTTGTTTCAATATTTCACCTATTCTTATCTTAACAATATCATTCGAAAACTCTAAATTACGTATATCTACTAAAAAATGAATAGACTGTAACCTTTGAGCTGTCAACAAGACAATAAAGAAACACATTTCAAAGTTATTTGCTTTAACGTCAAACTGTTATTTTCTAGTGTATCTAAGTAATTGAGTAGATCGGACACGTTCCATGTAAAATTGTATCTTGGTAGTGAAGGTCTTAATTGGAATATTCCTCTCATAAATCGCTTGACCAAATTATGTTTACCAATTGAATCGTGTCCATTAAGTGTCATAAATGAGGACAAAGCAGATCGCGCAGTATTGAGTCCGCTATAACCTATCCCTGAATGGAAAAGTTTTGCTAAGATTCTAAAACCAAATTTACAGTTGATGACATGGGATCAGCATGTTTTTAAACACAAATACACACCCACTTTTGGATATAACTCCAATATAGTCGTTTTGTGGAGTCTCGCCATGAATGCATGATAATGTCGACAACTGATTTTGATAAACCTTGACTTTCAAATGATCTCCGGACAATTTGAACGCTGTCAAGTGAAGTTTGTTGATGAGTGGATGAACTTTTGCTTTGTTGAACGAAAGTGTCACAAGTGATTTCTTCACTGGTAGAATTCTGGGACAATCCACAAGTAACTGTAGAATTTTCGGAAACCAAGGTTAAGTTGGCCATAACGGGACTATTACGATTGCATCTGCCTTGTCCTGTACAATTTTCTTCAATACTGCTCCTAGTATGCTGAAAGGAGGGAAAATATAATTAAAGTTTGTTCCCCAATTAAAAGTAAAAGCATCAACAAGTTTTGCATTCGGATCTGGTCTATAGGAACAGTATGGTGTAACTTTGTAATTTAACCGTGAGGCAAATAGATCACTATCAGGGCTTCCAAAATATTGTTCAATTTTTATATTAACATTACTATCTAATTCCCATTCTGTGTCATCATTGCTATTACGCGATTCATAGTCAGCTTGGCAATTCTCACTCCCCGGTAAATGGGCAGCTGTTAACCAGATGTTTTTATTTTGCACCATAACAAAATCTCTCTTGTCAATTCATTGAGATTCTTCTTCATACCGCCCATTTTATTTAAATACGTCACAGCAGTTGTGTTATCTATCTGTGCGTGTATATGTAAACATGACGCGTTGCTACAAATAGACTTCAGTGTTAAATACACAGCTAACAGTTCTAGCTGATTAATGTGATAAGAGTTTTCTTCATCTGACCACCTACCACCTGTAGATTGACTCTCCTAAACTCCGCTCCATCCCGTTAAAGACGCATCTGATCTAATTATAATTTCGGGATTTCCCACGCACACGTGTTTCTTGCTGGTTTCTATATTATCGATCCACAAATTAATATCTTGCTTACAGATTTCATTGAGACGGAATTTTGCTTCATAATTGCCTCGGTGATTCCGTAACTATTCGTTTTTAGTTATATGCAGTCTTTTGTGAAATGATTTTGCATTCGGAACCCCGTATTCGCTTGCTACCATTTTTCCTATTAATTCAGAAAATTCTCTGATAGAAACATATTCCTTGCGTAAAATTTGTTTACATAATTCCATGAATTTTTGTGCTTTTTCTTGAGTAAGACGCATTGTCATTTCCCGTGAATTCAACATAAGCCCAAGATGTTGAATTTCTTGTGTCAGAACGAAAACAGATTTATTCGGATGAATTGTAAGACCTAGTTTATCGAATAACGTAACTGTGTCATTAATGTTAGCAAGGCAATCCTTATAAGATTGTCCAATTAATAAAGAATCATCGATATAAGCTGAATTGCAATGACCTCTCTTTCGTAAGTCAGAAAAAACACATTTCATTATCTTTGTAAAAACACGTTGGCAAGTATTTAGACCTTGAGCTAAACATGTAAATTGATATAATTCCACATTCCATGTGAATCGGAGGAATCTACGATCAGACTCTCTGACTGAAATACTAAAAAATGCATCCTTCAAATCTATACTACCAAAATAATAATTACGGTTCATTTGATTAATTGCGGTGCATAAACTATCCATCTTAAAATGGTAATTCTCTATATATTCATTCAAAGATTTTAAATTTAAAATCACTGGATGTGTTCCGTCTTTTTTGGGTCGTGTGAAAATGTGTGTCACAAACTGGTTCTTGCGTGGTATAGCTTTTTGGATAATGCCTTTCTTTAAAGAAGTTTGCACTTCTAAAGTTATGGAAGTTTTTTCATCTTCATTAAACGAAGGATTATTACAACTGTTACGACATGGTGGTAAGGTGTGAAATTGTAACCAATAACCTGTCAACATTTCTAGAATTGATTTATCACTCGTTATTGATTTCCAACTTTCAAGATTGTATTTTACTTTCCCGGCTCTAAAGTTTTCAGGAGTATTAACAAGATTTGAAAATTCACATTTACTTTTCTTATATAATTGTTTAAACTGACTAACCTGTGGAACTAACGATTGTTTGGTTTGTGGAACTGTCTACCCCCTCTTCCTCGTTTGTTCGGGAAGGAGTTTCGCTGGTCTAAAAAACGACTTTTGCAATTTCCAGTTTTATTGTTATTGTACCCTTCAGCAGAATTTCGATTATAATTATAACCACTTGTTGATGGTTTGTCGGTAAATCCGGTATATCCCGTTACGGATATTTTCTTTGATTTTTGAATATCTTCAATTTTCTTCTGCAAATCATCCCCAAACAATTGATCAGATACAGAGTTGTTTGTATAAGTAAGTTTTTTAAACTTTCCAACCATAATTGGTTTGAAATTTTCTTTCCTGTATTGGTTCAATTGTGTATAAGAAGCTGCGAACATTCGGATACCATCTGTCATTTTCATTAGGTTTTTGTTGGCGCAAATGTGTTTTTCTTTAGGGCAGCTTTTATTTGTCGTTTCTATTGCTGGTATCATTCCTTTGATGACGTACCCCATTATTTTCTGTAATTTAAAATCACGTGATCTGATAGCATTGATCATGGCGTGTTTTCTCCCCAAACTTCTTCATTTACTGAAGGGATCATTAGATTTTGACAGTTTTCTGGTCTTTTGTATTTCGATTTAATTTCTTTGAATTTTGAATCGGGGATCTTAGATCTAAGAGAAGTATTGACGGATTTTGCTAAGCTTTCTTCAATAGCCGCACTAGTTTCTTCAGAATCGTTATAAAATTCACTCATTTCATCCATTAATTCATTGACCTCGTTAAGATCCTCGTCTTCAGTGACGTTATCAGATTTATCAAGGTTATCGCTCTCAGTATTTCAAAGCTACACATAAGTTTATCTAGGTCATCAACAGATTCTCTGTCATGCTGAGGATCATCTGCAACTTTTAAGTGTTTATTTGAAATGTTATCTTCCACGTCATCACAATGGGATCTTTTCGTTCCACGTGTGCTATCGTGTGGTGCTGTTGTTTTTTTTATTTGCACTGTCCGAAACACTATCAGATTCAGAACCTAATCTAATTTAAATTGTGTTTTCCATTTTAGAAAGCCAATTGGTGTTTCTTCCTCTATATTACATGAATTAATGCTTTTATATTTTTTTTTATGGAAGGTTTTCAATGCAGATCAGTTTTGTATTATTTTGTGTTTTTAAGTATAGCTTTTAATTTGTTTTAACTTGAGTGTAGCACGATTTATCTGATTTCATTTCCATTTGCCACTTTTATGGTATTGCATGTTTTATTCTAGATAGTTCTGATATCCAATTAGATTTGATGGTCAATTTATCTTATATTAACTTTTGTGAAATATTTCCTGCTTTGTCGATTATATCATTAATAAATAGTAACCTACTTGTTATCCAATGTGGAAATATTAAGCATTTGTTTTGAAATTTTATATGTTTATTGCCCCAAATGTATTGTTGTCTTATATTAACAAAAGTTGTACTGTTATTTTTGTTTGAGATATTTTTTATTTTAAACCAACTTTTAACTATTTCTAAGTAGAAAAGAGGTAGTGATTTGCTAAGGTTTGGGATTGCTTTTATGCTTTTATATCTTTGATCCTAATTGGATTATTTGATGTTTAGTAGGCATGTGCTTGCCACAGACAGAAAATAATTTATGATGTACTATATTTTTATTCAAAATGAGTTATTCATTATTTTGCGTGATTATCCTTACACCATTTTTTGAGATGCTGTGTATTGAAAAAAAGTATTGGTTGCTGGAGATTGGGATATAATAGAAAATATATACGTTTAAAAAATCTTTATTTTCAAATCATATAAATTTTTCTTTAAAAGTGATTTTTTTTAATATCCAGATTGTGAAGAAATAGAAGCAATGTCATCAAATTTAATATATCATAGAGAGCCTCAGGATGGGGGAACGTCATCAAATTTACTTTCCCATAGAGAGCCTCATCATGGTCGAACTAAAAAGGTAATACTTTACATTATCAAGTTTTATGTCTCGCGTCATTTTTGATATTTTCTTCCAGGTGCGCGCCTAAGATGACGATGAAATTGATGAATTTTTGTTGAACATGCAGTGGCAAAAATTGCATGCATGTTAATATGATATGAATACAAACTCTGTTTTGCACAAGACGTACACACTGAGCTTAAGTTTTAACGTGATAGTTCATTTGGTTAACAGTCAAGATAACGTACCATCCTATCTTGACAGATAATTTTGACTTTGACCCGACCAATCTCATACTCCTGAATGCCACGCGCTTAGTGGAGAAGGAGCACATACAAAATTTTAAGTCTTATGTTTGACCTGTGTAACAATGATAACACGTTTTTCAAATATTTTTACACGACCGTCGGCGTCTTCGTGGTCCGACTCATATGGTTACCAGACAATAACTTAAGTATAAGTGTATCGATCTATTTTGAGTTGTGCCAAAAGGTTGCATACTACAAAAGAAAAGTTGGAATTGATTTGGGGGCTATTGCCCTAAAGGTTTAGGAATACGGGACCAACAAAGGGACAGAAAACAAGCATTCTCCATGTTTCAGGACATTAATTTGTGTATAAGTGTATAAATCTCTATGAAACTGTTCCACAAGGTTCAATACCCCAAAAGGAAGGATATGATTGATTTTGGGGGTTATGGTCCTAATCGTTTAGGAAAAAACGACAAACATAATTATTTTCTAAAACTTAATAATTAATTGCTTATCTGTTGTCCAATTTAAATTAGGTTTAATTTCAAGTCTTGAATTCTTAAAGTTCTGTAATTTGCTTTTTATTGGTTTTTTGGACTCCGTTTTTAAACAAGTCCATATGAAGAATCAAAGGGTCCAAAAATTAAAACAGTTTGATATTAGCAAAAATTTAACACTTCTGATTCTTTGATATGCGGGATATAGATATGTATTTAGAGTTTTGATTTTGGGCCCAGTTTTCAAGTAGGTGCATATTAAGGTACACTGGGTCCAAAATTAAACTAATATTGATTATATTTGATATGCTGAATATAACCGTGTATTTTAGTTTTTAGATTTTTGAAATCCTTTGAGGTCCAATGGGTCCAAAATTCAACTTTGCTTGATTGGATCAACATTGAATTTTAGGAGTTCTTTGACGGTTTCCGTCTCAAATGGAAGTGGCCGCATTTGTGTTCATTTTTAATATTTAGATGTAAGTTGTATTTGATGATATTGCATAACATATATAAAGGTTGAGGATAAACACGGATGCGGCCACTTTCATTTTTGGCATAAAACATCTGAAAAATGACAAATTATGACATATTTGATAGATTTTTAATATTTAAGCCTGAATAAGGGCGTCTTTTATGACTAAATCAGTCCAAATATTTCACATAAACTAATTGAATCTACTATAGTAGACACTTTTTTCTAAATAGATACTTGTTTATTCCAAAAATTTCCTGTTTACAATTTCCTCAGTTGCCCAGGATGCAAACTGGGGATTCCCGTTTACATTTAAAACCAACTGTCCGGGAAGCAGGAGGCTGAAAAAGTGCACTGTATTACCAGAAAAAGTAGTACATGTATAATAATACTTATATTCTTTTATATGACAATGAATGAAAAAGAACATCTTTCTAGAATGTAATCCTAGTAATAAAAAATATAACATTATAACATAATCGAGTGTACCTCTAAACCAATTAACATAACATTATAACATAATCGAGTGCATCTCTAAACCATGGATTACCTAATACAAATTAAAGAGACATAAAAGGCAGACCACATAACATCGTGACTGTTATCTCCTACAAGGTTTGTAATTATAATATAAAATTAATTAATGTGTTTATTTTTACTTTGTCTATTGTATTATTAGATAAATAACAGGGTACAGATTTCAGATGGATTATCATGATTCAAAATATCTGTAGATGACATTTTTATCCAATCATATTTGATTTTCTTTCTTATTTTCCACAAGGACCATTTTGTCAAAATAAAAAAAGAGGTTTACAATTAAAGTGTGGTTCGATTGACCACTGCTATCTCCCAAAAGCATAAAATGTTTTAAATTTTTCATCATCTTATTGAACATTTCATAATGTGAAAATATCTTTGATTTCACTAATGATTATTTTGGTTGTATTGCATCGAAAAATAAATGTTGCAAATTTTCAGTATTATTAACCGTTTGGCAAATATGACATTTTCCGTTTGACAATTGCATATTTTTAAGTCTACTTTCCGTATATATGATATTGTGAATGCATTTCCATTGAAATTCTTTTATTTCATTTGTGATATTAACTTTTTTCAGATTGTCCCATACTATTTTCCAATTAATTGAGTGCCCAAAAATTTCTTGAAATTTGTTTTGACATTTTGGATATATTTTCTTATTAATCATGTCTCGAATATATTTGAGTTTCAATTCTTTAGGTTTGATTTTTTTTGTCATTTCAATCTAATATGAACATTTCATCAGAAATTTTCAATTCTATGTTTGTTTTTTCATTAACTTCATTATCAATTTTTAAAATTTGTAAGAAGTCGATTTGTATTGAACTTTTAACTCTTCAAAATTCCAATATACAGTTTCTTTTATCCACAAGTTTTTCAAATATAGAACAACAACTGTAAAATTCATTGGTTTCTTCATTCCATATGCCTTTGATATATTTCATGTTAATTTTTAGAAAGGAAAAAAAATCAATGGCTTATTTTGGAATGAAATTTTTGAATTACCAATTAGTCTCATATTAAGTACTCGTTCTTTATTTTGGGATTATCTCCAATTTTTAGAAAATTAGACCATGTATAAATCATTTTCTGGTAAATAAAGGAAGTTGAGTCCTTTAATATAAGAACATTTACATAAAATATATTGATCATTATACTTGTTGTCAAATTGTCGAAGCCAATACTTGCCAATCGCATTCCAGCTTTCATGAAGAATGCAATAAAGAGACTTTATTTGATTACGTCTAATGAATAAGTCTATACTAATCATGTCCATTCCAACCTTTGTTATATCAAGACAACAAACCTGTCTTTCTATTTGGTTAACTCTCCCATGCCATATAAAATTCCAAATAATATTGTTTATTTTTTTTGAATATTTTTCAAGAATTCCCCGCATTTCAATTTCATAACTGCACATGGGCAATATGAATTTTTTTACTATTAAGGTTTTACCACTAAATGAAAGTTTCCTGCTTTTCCACACGTGGACACAGTTTTTAATCTTTTCTATAATGCTTTGCCATATAGCAATTTCATATCCGTGCTTTACTCCGAGGGTTTTTACATTACCTGTAATCCATTTAATTTTATTAAATTTGAGTTTTTTTCTTTTAAGAGATCCTATAAGTAAACCTTTGGTTTTATCAAAATTAATTTTAGATCCCGAAGCTTTTTCCTATAACGTTAGGACATCAAAAGATTTTTCTACTGATTTCTCATTTTTTTTTAAAAGCTGAGTGTCATCAGCAAACATGCACAATTTAGTTTCTATACTTTTACCCCCCTCACCAGGTATCTGAATCCCTTCAATTTCCTGGTTACCTCGTATTGCACATGCCAGTGGTTTTGCTTGCAAAATGTATATAAGGGCTGCTATTGGCAGCCCTGTCTGGCCGAACGAGTTATCGAAAAATATTTTGAAACATGTCCAGTTGTTTTTATACCAGTTATAGCATCATAAAGTAACATTTTGATCCATTGTCTAAATTTTCCACCAAAATTAAACTTTTATAATAGAAATTCACCCAATATTCAACTCTATCAAAGGCTTTTTGTTGATCAAGAAATATTATTATTCCATCTTCGTCTTCGTTGTCAATATAGCTAGTCTATTATATCTTGTTTAATCGGTTAGCATCACTAATGTTTCTTCCTTTAACAAATCCTTTTTGATCTGGATGTATTATTTGTGGTTAGACTTTTTTCAATCTCATTGCAAGAAGTTTTGCTATGATTTTATAATCGGTGTTAAGTAATGTAAGAGGTCTCCAGTTTTTAATATTTTCTTTTTCACCACCCTTATGTAATAACGTAAGAACCCCTTTATGTTGTGATTTACTTAAGGCATTTTTATCAAATATTTCTTGAAGGAGTGTAAAAAAATCATATTTTATTATATCCCAATACAAAATGTAAAATTCAGATATAATGCCATCCTCACCTGGCGATTTGTTAGTCTTTAGATCTTTGAGCTAATTCTTCCATATTTATATTACTTTCAAGCATCTCCTTATCGTCGGAACTTACCTTACTTTCAATAAATTGGCAAAGCTTTTCACCGCACTGTTTGTCCCACCCTTCAGAAGTAAAAAGTGTGGAATAAAATTGTAATTGTTCTTTTGATATCGAATCAATATCATATTTATACTCACCCGTTGTTGTTTTTATACGATTCTACTATTTGTTTTGACTATTTTTCTTTTCTAAATTTAAAAAAATATTTCGTAGATTTTTCACCTTCCTCTGCTTATTTAATCTTTGCTCTAATTTTCGCAGATTCTGTCAAATTTGTATAAATATCCTTAATTTCGCGTTCAATTTCGATTATTCTAGAATTGATGATATTTGTTTTTTCCTCTACAAATTTTAATGCTTCAAGTCGTTTTTCTAGTTGTTTAATGTGATTGTTATTATATAAGCGATTTAGTGTTTTACTAACATCAATTGTTTGAAATTTTATTTTACTTTTGGTTATATCCCACCATTCTTGTATATCATTATATTTGTCTTTACTATTTTACCATCTTTCCCAAAAGATTTAAAATGCATTTGAAAACTGCTCAGATTTAATTGTATTTAAATTCATAATCCACATACCCGGCCCTCTTTCTATATTATCTAGCTTAATTTTTTATGTAACTATTTCTTGACCACTAAACGGGAAATATGATATACGAGTGTTAAATATTTTACTATTCAAAGATTTGCTGCAGAAAATAAAATCAATACGAGACTTCGAGTTTCCTCTCTGAAACGTATAACGTTTTGTATCTGGAAATCGAGATCTCCATACATCATCTAATTCATATCTCAACAAAAGATGTTTTAATTCTGTTGTACCGACGTCATTATTTTGATGTGATTGCATTCTGTCTAGTTTTTGTCTAAAGTACAATTAAAGTGTCCTAATAATACGGTGTAGTGTTCAACGCTATCATCGTCATACATTTTATTTAGATTACGCAAATTTTCGTAAAAAGTCTTTCTATCGGAACCATTGTTCGGTGTATATACATTCACAATATGATATACAGTATTATATCTTTTCATGTCACACATTTGACATCTTCCGTTTTCATCGTGATTAATAAAAGTTACATTTTCGGAAAATTTCTTTTGCAAAAGGAATCCCACTCCCCTTGAATCAGAAGTTCCAAAATTCCAAACAGATTCACCTCCCCCAAATTTTTTCCCAGTCATTACCCCAGTTATCAATATCAGATTTCGAACAGTGTGTTTCTTGTAGACAAATGATATAAAACTTTTTTGAAACCAACCAATTAAAAATCACATCTCGCTTTTTATTGTTTCGTTAACCATTAACATTTATTGAAGCAATTGACAAAGACATATTAAGTTCGAATAGTTTTTTTTTATCTTTCTTTCGTCATTTAAATGTTTCACTTGAATGCTTTGAACCTGGTTATGTCTATTCGGTAAAATAGACTTAACGGATCGTTCATGTGTATATCTGTGAGAAAACAAATCAGGTAAAACTTTAATTATTAAGCGTCGTTTTAAAACCGTAATAGGTATAATAAGCAGATACTTTTTCATGTTCTCCATTTATAACATTATTAAGCGTCGTTTTAAAACCGTAAAAGTTCAAATAAACAAATACTTATTCATGTTCACCATATATATATAACATTACAATTTGGTACATCCTAGCAATTTTTGAACTTTTTGCATGTAAAAATAGGCATATAAACGAAATACTTCTAAATAAAATATGCATACGAAAAATATGTTTAAAAAAGTGGACATGATATTTACAGTGATACATTTGTGTTTTTTTTTTTTTTTTTTTTAAATATTTAAATATTTGTTTTATAACAGTAAAATCAGATTAAATAGTCTGAGTGTTTATTTACATGGTTTAATCATGATCTATGCCTGTCTCATTTCTTGATACTTTGGATGTCTGGTTTGCAGATGTTGGAGTAGTTTTGTCACTTCTGTTGCGTTTGCGATCAATCGGAGTGTTTGATACGGTTAAGTTCGTATTTGAGCTATGAAGAAACTCACAAAGTTTACTGTTAATTCTTTGTGCGCCTTCTGTACTGACGTGTACCCCGCTACTGTCATTTAAGTAGACACTTTAGTGTTTAAAAAGTGTCCAAAATCTTTCATCAGATGAACCTGTAGTTTTAGGCCAAAATCGGCCCTTACCGGACCTACTCCTTTGACAGTGATAATTCTCCGCTTATTTCCGGTTTCTAGTCAAAGTTAATTTTTTTTATTAATTCTTTCATTCAATTCATCTGCTAGATATTTGTTTTGTTTGAATCAATTAAGTCATTTTGATCTGAAAAGGTTTCAAAATAATAATGTAATCCCTTATATTCGCCATATTTCGCTTTTCTGGATTAACCTTGATCAGGAACGCTCAAAGCCGAATACGGAAAAGTCAACAGGCATATTGGACGATCCTGCTATGATAAAAGTTTTGGGAGAATTGTTCACAGTCTTATATAATAAAACACCAAATTGGGATTCCCAATCTTATACTAATATAAGTTGAAATATACCGGCAACAGTTTATGTGAAATACATTCTGAAATACGACAAAGTCGAATATTAATGTTTGGTTCGTTACCAGTAAGCTGTCCGAATCTTACCTCTATGAGTTTCTAAATGACCAATAGAAGATCTTCATTGAGTAGACTAAACTAGTGAAACCTATTTTGTTAAATATTGATTTGGGGATTATAATGGGTAATAATATTCTTGAATGGTATATTTAAAATGTTCTAAAATTTACCACAATGCATGTTAAGGATGTACACCTTAGAGGAGCCGAACATTTCTAGAATATAACTTTTTTTTCTTAACCTGATGTTTTTAGTTTATATGACTGTAACAAAGTAATTGATGGAGAAAAAAAATCATATGGTGTGCACTTTTTTTACGGTCATTTGAAAGTACCAATTTTTATGATTTTTCCCAATTTTCATCAATTTTTAACAATTTTTGGGCTATTATCATAAAACAAATGACGATTTTACAATCAAACTTTTTTCATACTTTCACTTACGATGAAGTGGACTAATCTGAGTAAATTTAACTTAAAAAAAAATATAGGTAGGTGTTAATATAAGAATGTTTTATCATATTTGTTTGCATTTTCATGTAAAATCAACCATGCTGTAAATTTTGTAAGATGGAATTTTTCTCTCTTTTTTTATAAACAAAAAGCATATCATATCAACTCATTTTATCATGAATGATGGAAAAAATACATATCTTAAATTTTTTGAAAAGAAAAAATTGATATGGGACGTACATATTTTTGGTAAAATTAGTTTTTGTACCATTACCCATTTTCTCAAAATTGTGGCTGATGACACTGGCGGGATTGCTAATACAAATTGAAAATTCAATTACTCAAAAACAACTTATTGTAAGTTCACAATTTTTTCACAGAGTTTAGTTTGATTATAATATTTTTTACATTCATTGTTTTCTCTACGAAAAAAGTATTTTGAAAAGGAGATGTTTTCACATTCTCCAACGATAGATTTATAAATAATAAACTTCCAATAGAACGTATAAAATTTGTTTCTCGTTTCTCGTTTTTTATATACTATAGATTAGACCATTGGTTTACCCGTTTGAATGGTTTTACTCTAGTCATTTTTGGGGCCCTTTATAGCTTGCTGTTTGGTGTGAGCAAATCCTCGTGTTATAGACCATACTTTGACCTATAATGGTTTACTTTTACAAACTGTGAAATGGAGAATGTCTAGTTGGCTCTCATACCACATCTTCTTATATCTATATACAATCACAATACAATAGGTAGATTTGTGAAACTATTTTGCAAGGAAAGTGATCTTCGGATTGCATTTCAGTACATTCTTGAGTTATCAGAAAGAAAAAAATATAGACAAAAGAAATATTTTTTTATTTTGTATGTTCTGAAGTTCAAATGCTCGATGTATTCATGTACTGCAGAACAATCAAAACTTTATTTTAATGTAAATTTATTTACTATAACTATTCACTATAAAATAACTTTCCCCCATAAAAAAGAGAGTTTAAAGATACCAGAGGGATACTTAAACTCAATAAGTTGAAAACGAACTGACACTGTTATGGCAAAAAACGAGAAACGACCATAACACACATACATGTAGTATACAAAACTCAATTTGCAACAGTAAATCTACTTTTAACGAACAGAATGCCAAGCTTAAAATACAGTACAGCTATCTCCTAGTTTGGTATGTTAAATCAGACTTCTGAGATATTAAACAATAAATAGATTACCACGCTATCAAATGACCCGATATTAAATTAAACGAAAAGATTTATACGCACAATGGAATTCATATATTTAAGAACTAAATGCTTCTTTTCGTAAATTCCTTAGGATGTTAAAACGTTGATCGAAGTAAATTTTGTATCAATTCTTAAAATGTGCACCCGGTCAACACTTTTTCAATCATCATGAATTTAACATTTCAGAATGACACAGGATTGCTGTTAACCAATACAAATAACGTATTAAATTAAACATGCATGTAATATAAACATTTGTACTATTTTTGTGACCTAAAACGAACTCGCCTTCGTCTTTTATCTGTAATTGGTATCTTTCTTTTGCAATTCAAAAGTGCAAATGAGACAATTAACATCATTCAAACTAAACTTCTATCAAATGTATTTAAGTTATACACTGGACATTCGTCTCGACTATTAACGTCTCATCAGTAGCATTCGAAATCAGAATCTGATGTCTGCTTTCATATTAGTGGAATGTTCAATAAATTGACTTTTGTCTGTTCTACCTGTGGAAACAATTGTAAAACAACACAGTTATTGCCTATTCTTGTTTCCAGTGTTTATAGTTTAATTTGATTGCTTTTAAAATCTATGAACTTATCCACATTTCAAATTATCAAAAGATTGGGCTCTGTTATATACTTCTTAGTTTGTAAAACTAGAAAAGTTTGAATCTATACATTGAATTAAATAAGATATTTAAGGTCATTTCCTGATTGCTGTATAAAAGTATCAACTTTGCATCTCTATTCCAGAAGCTCTGCAAATGGAAACAGATTGTCCTCGGATGTCTCTTACTGGTAGCGGTCTGTCATGCAGGTTATTCCATTTATCAAGTGAAGTGAGTAGTATAAGCAAGGACATCACAACACAGAATTGACACCTCTGATTTAGATGCATGTATTGTGTTCACCTCGATTTCATCATGTTTAAAAATGCGAGTGCAATATGCGAATAAAAAGGAATTACTGATTTGGAGAGATGCATATATCAATGATATAAATATTAAATCTCTTCCCTAAATAAACTAGGAATATTTATTCTTCAACTGCTTTTCAAGGACTACAAGATAATCAATAAAACACAGGAATAGCGTGTTCGTTGTTGTTCTTGATCATAACAATGATCATTGATTGAAAGTATTTAGCAAGGAAGTCAAAAGTTCATATCTTACAATCAGACTAAGACGCCCCATCATCCCATAGCGTCGACTTTTAACAAAGTGAAATGTTTAATAGAAGTAAACTTTTTTTTTGTGATTATGAACTTTTGTTGCTTTGTTTCTTTGCTCATCTGACACTAATACCAAATGTGAATAAGAATTTTGGCATAACTTCATATGCTCTCACTGAAAAATTGACCGAATTACATAAACTATTTTTTTTTCAAATAATGAACAGTCATAATAAAAGAAACAGGCTTAGAAAATTCTTTTTTTTCTCTAATTCTTGCCGTTACATCATTGTTGTTCGTACTGCATACTCTGGTTTTATACGCTTCTGTGATTGTATCCTGATACATTTCATTGTATTCATTTGTAGTGATATGAAGAAAACTGTGGAAAACAAACAAACAGTCATTGGAAGTGATGCAAAAAAGCTGCTATTCAGTTCAGTTCAAAACATGGACTTTAATGTCAGTAAGGGAATATATATATTGTGTTTAGTTTCTAGAATGAATTTTAGTCAGAAAAGTTAATAGCATTCTTTTTTGCAACGATCAGAGTATTTCAGCTTATCATCAGTTTGTTTGCAATTTTCTCAACTCTTACTGTTTGTTTAGCTCACACACTGTTGTCAATAGAATGGAATTCTATGCGACTGCCATACAAGTGCGATATTTAGCTAGCTATAAAACCAGGTTTAATCCACCATTTTGTACCTCAGAAAACGCCTATGGAAAATTAGGAATATGACAATCAATGACAGAAAATAAGGACAGTTGTTTTCCATTTGTTTGATAAGCTTTTGATTTTGCCAGTTGATACAAGATTTTCCGTTTTGAATTTTTGTTATTTCACCTTTTTTGCAGCTCTATGCCATGTTATATACGGTTATTGCATCTCCTGTCCATCGGGTAGATTCATGTCTTTTCCTGAACTGATTAGACCTGTCAAATGGCCGTTTTGTTTGATATGTTGATCTTGCTTTTGTTTGTTTGTCTTTTTGTGTTTAATCTTAAGTACTGGAAATTGTAGTACTCACTTGAAGTTCTCTAACTGTTCAATTTCAATTTTAAAAATGAAGTTATCAAACTGCTTTGTAAAAGCATCGTTGCAATATTAATTTTATTTGCACTAATAACAATGAATAAGAGATAATCAGAAACCGTAAGAAGTCAAAATGATCATCAATACATGATTTGCACCAATGCTAATGCCCGAAGTTACAAGAAGACTTCTTCTTTTGGGTTATTGCATAACTGTTTTAAAATTTGAAGCATTTCATTTATTGTCATGAATTATAAAATAGAAAAGACAAAAGCTGTAACAAAAATTATGATCAGCAATATCAATTATTATCTTACCTCCTATACATTTCTAGGAATATGATTGGTTAAAAGCATCCGCATGTAGACCCTGCATATTTGATATTAGGTTAGTAAGGTTCCATACTAGTTTAGTAGGCGGGGCTTGTTTCAATACACAGTCAGTAGTGTTGTTAAGTCCCTTTATAAAAACACCATGGTGTTGCGGAAACATCTTAAAGGTTTCAACAGAAATAATATCATCAATTGACTCTTTGTTGGAGTAATGACGACTAAATTGATTTAATTGTTTTGATAAATATAAGAGTAATACTATAAATGAAATGGTAAAAATGATCACTAATACAATATCTTCAAACATTACACTTATACGACTGAAATAACCGATTGACACTCTGTAAAAGTTATTGCTCCTTAATTACAATTTGCATCTACATTTGATGTTTATGGATATTTTTTTGAAAAACAGAAATGGATAGAGGGATACTGTAAACATATAAACAATTGATAAACATGTTAATTGAGATCTACAAATCATTTTACGTTCTTTGATATTGTGATGGTTACTCAGTGGATGGTCATTTGAATTGCGAAGGGGCAAAGAGCATGAAAGATTGTGCCTTCAAACAATTGATCCTGATTGTGTTCATAAATAATTTATGTGATCCTGGTACTGAATAGAAAAAAAATAATTTCTGACCCTGTTTCAATTTGCATTTTTTTATTGCGAAAAATATAAAGATAGATATCAAGTTGCCAAATTTTGATATATAGCCATATCAAAAGAAGTAACAGATCAATTTGAAATTTCCTTCCGTTATAGCATTTTTTCGAGAAGTTGTGGCCATAGGGGATATAAAATTACTTTGAAATATTAGTTTTTCTCTTTTTACCCCCCCCCCCCCCTGCTTTAAACAAGTGGGGGTATACTGTTTTACCTCCGTCTGTCCGTCCGTCCGTCCATCCGTCCCATGAATATTTTTCGTCGCATCTTTCTCCGGAACTTCATCATAAGGATTTCTGAAATTTGGTTTCAGGGTTTATATAAGTCAGCTATAACATGTGATGCGTTTTCAGATTCATCATTCAACAACTTCCTGTTTACCGTCAAGTATTTGAGCGGGGGTATCATCAGTGAGCAGTAACTCACAGTGTCACTTGTTTTATACTCATATGTTAAAACGAATTGATTAGATACATGTTGGGTTGTCGTATTAAGAAGATATAGCTCAAGTTTTAGGTTCGTGGCAATTTAGTTTTTATTGTTGAGGTTGTGGCCCTATAACATAGAAAATTGCTAAATTATATACCCTTTCAAAAGTTTTTGTTTCTGTGAAATAAAATCGGAAGATACCAAAGGGACTTTTAAAATATATAAAGCGAGGACAAACCGACAACGCAATGACAAAAAAAAACGAATAGAAGACAAACAACAAACTTCAAAACACTATACAAAAATTTAAAGAATTAGCAACTACAACTCCACCAAAAACCGGAGTTGATCTGAGGAGCTACTGACGGGTAAGCAAATCCTGCTCCACATATGGCACCAGTCGTGTTGTTCATGATAAGTACAAATTCTGTGATAATCGAGGAAAAGAGGACATGGATTGGGTAACGACAATGGGAACATGTGTGAGCTCATCTGTGACATTGATATTCCGTAACGATCAACCAATTCATGATGACGTTGATAAAAATTTCAAAGGAATCGAGTGCTCGTTCCGTTTAAGTGTAATCTCGTCCAATGTTACTGCCGGTAGGGGTCATTGTACTGAATTTTCAATACCCTCAGAAGCGCCAAGTACTTAGTATCAATCTGATGACTAAATCCGGCATTTTTAAACAAGTTCGTATGCCCCACATACGATTGTACGGAACATTGTGTTTTGCAGTTTATGCGTCTGTTTATCCGTCCTGTATCAGGTCAATGTTGTGGTTTTATATTGAGCAACGCGAACTTCTTATCAAACCCTGAGATGAGTGCAGTTTCTCGTATGAATTGAATATGACTTTGTTATATCGAGGCCTTTTATAGCTTGCTTATGTTTAACTCATTACCGTACTGTCATACCACACCTTCATATTTTCATATCAGATTTTCCAGATAAAAGTTTGCATGTAACATAATACAGCAAATACTAGCCATTACCTTCATTTTTTTTTTATTTTAATAACAAAGAATTCTTTAAATATACTAATATAGTATTTACTTATCGAAAATCCTTTTCTTGTAATTGAGTGGAGGCCATTGGTTGCTGTGTGCCATAATATTTTTCGTTTATTGTATCATTTGAAACAAAGACCGTTGATTTTCTGTTACGAATTTCTCCAAATCTTGTCGTCAATTCTCGGCTTTCCAATGTATACTAAGCTTAATATGCGGTATGGGTTTTAATTATTGTTGAAATATCTTAAGGGATGGCCTGGTATTGTAAACATGTTTTTCTTTTTGGTTTTTAATACCGAATCTATGTTTTATATCTTAAGCTGTAAAAAAGAGGCGAAAGACACCAAAGGGAAACGCAAATTCATAAGTCGAAAATAAACTGACAACGACATGGCTAAAAAAAAGACGAACAGACAAATAATAGTACACAAGACATAACATAGAAAACTAAAGACTGAGCAACACGAACTCCAACAAAAACTAGGGGTTATATTAGGTGCTACGGAAGGGTAAGCACATCCTGCTCCACATGTGTCACCCGCCTCGTTGCTCATTTTAGTACAAACCCGGTAATAAGTTTAATTCGGTAGGTCACATTCGGGAAAAGAGGACAAGATTGTAGTTACGACATTAGGAACATATCCGGTATCATCTGTGAAACGGATATTCCATAACGGTCAACCAACTTTTGATGGCGTCCGTTAAATTTACGAAGGGATGATTTCAACTTCACCACTTGGAATTCTTGGTTTAATGGCTTTCTTGTGAGTAGCAACACTCTATCAAGGAAATCATGATAGGAAATACACGCCATAGAGTATCGTTTCCACTGAGAGATATATACTCCGTATGCAGGTGCTGCTGGAATGTTGCTACATAAAAATGGAAAGTTCAAAATTGGGAAGCTGAAATCATCTCTGCAATATACAATATGCAGTAGTATGTAAAAATTAACAAAACTGAATGTTGTCAACATGCAGTAATTATATAAGTTTACACAAATTTTAATCTGAAACAAACAAGTGATACCTCTCGTATGTTTGTACAATTTTCTATCAAATAAACAACGGTTTTGGCTAAAAGGAAATTTACACGTTTTAACTGTTCGTGAACAAACAAACGACAAACAACAAAAAATGTATTAAATCTTCCATCATTATTCAAGTTTTCATGACATATAAAAACAATATTTATCGATTACTAGTATTGAATATGTGGATCCTTTTATGAATGCTGGTGGTTTTACAACAGCAGCCGTGGTCAAAATTGATAACAACAAGAGTTTAACTACGGCTTAAGAATCGTCACATAGTACGAACATTTCCATATTTCAGCATTTTCTCAGTCTAACTTGTCTAATTCGTCAAAACTTGATGCTTTGAAACATATGGAATTTGATGCGACTGTCATACAAGTGGGAGTATGTCAGTCTGTTATTTGCTCAGACATAACATCAATCTGTATACGGCAAATGAAAAGGGAGGGAGAATCAAATGTTGGGTTCAGTAGTTCAATCTTAATTTTTGAAGCCATTCAAGCAGCTAGCTATTTAAAACCTGAAAAAATACTGTCAGAAATTGAAACTGTAATTAAGACAATAAATTTAAATAAAGACTGAACATTACACACAGCTGCTTCAATAGTTCCTAGTTGAATGCAGTCCTTAAATATATCATATGGGACGTACCCAACACCATTGCTACATTGAAAGAAGGTGGTTATACAATACAGGAGGGAGCAAATAATGTTGACTTCAATACTGAGACAATTCATGGTTAAAAAATCGTTCCCTTAATAGCTACGGCTATCTCTCAGTTTAAAAAAACCACAGCAAACGCTATTCGAAGTTTCTTTAAGATTAAACTTGAAGTAGAAAGATCTAGATCTGTCGCTTGAAGATTCTTATACCAAACGTTTGGCATGCTGACCAATCGACAATATAAGCAAGTGTGCACACGCTGAAATGTCTCTCCTACTATACTG